CTGCTTCTTTTCCTTCTTCTGAGTGGGTCTGTTCTTTCTCCGTGGCTGGACCTCATGTCTGGTTTTGAGAGGATTTGCCCTGAGAAATCAGAGGCTGCAAGCCTCTCCCTTGTTGTCTTTCTGCCAGGAGGGCCGTCTGAGGGTGAAGGCCTTTTTTTTTTTTTTTTTTTTTTAATATATTTTTATTGATTTCAGAGAGGAAGGGAGAGAGGAATAGAAACATCAATGATGAAAGAGAATCACTGATTGGTTGCCTCCTGCATGCCCCCCACTGGGGATTGAGCCCGCAACCTGGGCATATGCCCTGACCAGGAATCGAACCGGTGACCTCTTGGTGCCTGGGTCAAGCTCAACTGCTGAGCTACACCCAGCTGGGTGGTGAAGGCTTTTTGATTGTATTAGGATGGGCTGAGAGTAAGGCACCTGCCTAGTCTAATGTTAGCATCATCTAAGCAAATCACATTTTACAGTGGTCGGCAAACTCAGTCAACAGAGCCAAATATCAACAGTACAACGACTGAAATTTCTTTTGAGCCAAATTCTTTAAACTTTTTCTAACGCCACGTCTTCAATATAGCGCCCCGGCCAAGGTATTTTGTAGAAGAGCCACACTCAAAGGGCCAAAGAGCCGCATGTGGCTCTCGAGCCGCAGTTTGTCCACCACTGACATAGAAGTTAACTTTTCTACCAGAGTTGGGTGTTGCTTGAAGTCAGTTGTTTTAATTGTTTCATTTCTCCGATCTATTTTTGTTTCTGCAGACAGCCTGAAACTCAGATAGCCTGAAACTCATTCTGTTGCTTAAACTGGGCATGGTCTCACTTGACAGGCAGACCAGTCACGCTGGCCTCTCTCTCACGGGCGAGGGTAGTGCACCTCTCCCTGCCCTGGTGCACACTCCGCAAAGCCTCGGTCCCGTGGAAGACCGTGGCCTTGTCGGTTCCTCGAGTTCCGTCTTCAGGAAGGACTCCTGTGAGCTATCCTTCTGTACACAAGCTCTAGCTCTCAAGGCCTAGTTATCTTCATTTTAGGAAGGGAAAGTCTTTTATTTTTTATTTTTACTTATTGATTTGACAGAGAGAGAAACATTGGTTTGTTGTTCCACTTATTCATACGTTCGTTGGTTGATTCTTGTATGTGCCCTGACGGGGGATTGAACCGGCAACCAGCAACCGTAGCCTCCGGGGATGATGTTCTAACCGACTGAGCAACCTGGCTGGGGCTTTAGAGCAGCGGGAGGGGCGTAAATTCTCAAGGGGTCAGAAAAGAACGGCTCCACAGGCCCTGCTCCCCATCCTGACAGTGGGCGTGGCCTGTTGCAGGTCCCACAGCAAACTGGAATGGGCTGAATCGTTCACATTTCTCTGGGTTCAGATCTAGAGCGAGTGCTTTATATTTCCAGGCTGAAAATACAATCTCTAAACGTGCACAGGTGGTTAATCCTGAGGCCTATGTTTAAAAGTTTTGTTTTTTAATTGGATACAAAATCCAATTAATTTGCCCTTAAAAAAAATCCTTCTACAGAGAGGAAGGGAGAGGGATAGAAAGATAGAAACGTAGATGAGGGAGAAACAACATCCATCCATGAGCTGCCTCCTGCATGAGCCCGCAGCCCGGGGATCGAACCATGACCTCTTGGCTCATGGATGGATGCTCAACCACTGAGCAATACCAGCTGGGCGAGGTCTGTGTTTAGAACACGTTCCCTAGCTCTCCTTTCCCCAATCTTTTCACACCTATTTCAGGTAATTACTCCCCACCACCTCAGGGCTATCTATTAACATAATTTAGTCTTCCTGTTACTCTTGCCTCTAATCATAACCTCGTCTGAACTAAACTTTTTTGGCCACGTGAAAATCAGTGTAAATCGAACATGAAGTTAAGGAGGCTTTTTTTTTTTTTTTTTTTTTTTTTTTTAATCTTTGGTTATTACTAAGCTTGATTTATGGAAAGGATAATTGACTTTGAAAGATCTGATTTCTCAGAATCAGTCATGTTCTTCATAAATTTAATTAAAGGCTCTTAACTTTGCTGTGAATGATGACAATCTTCTCCTCCACTAGAGGTGAAAAAAAAAAAAAAAAAAACAAGTTATGACACGGACTTCTTTTAGTTTCATCCAAAGAGTGAGGTATGCAGTGTGGTTCTTGTGTGCTTTACTTATTGCAGCAGCTTCTTTTCTAATCCCTGAGAGACAAAAAAAGGCCAGAGGATGTATTCCTTCCTGCCTCCGGGCACTTCAGATACTCAGCCAAATAGCACTGCGGCCCACAGAGGCCGCCGTGGGAATGTGCAGCACGCATGAAAGGTAACCCATTCCCACGGAACTCACTGCCCTCGCCCCTCTGGAGCTGCAGGGCACCCGCCACCGCCTTCAGAGTTCACGTGGGCTTCCTGTCCGACCCCATCAGAAGTTCTCCGATTCTGACGTATTAAGAATTCCGTTAGCCCTGACATGTCTCGTATATAAAACGGGTAAAGATAAAATGTACAGTGTAGTGATACTCCTGCTGCACGCTGCATGGTCCGACTCCTGCAGGTGATTGCTGAGTGAGCCTTCCAGTCGTCGCCTGAAAGTTTTTCCCACCGGGAAACGGAACTGCACTCGTGTGCAGCTCAGTCATTTCTCCTGCCCGGTAATCCTGTTCTGGGCCCTTTCCTCATCCGCATGATTACCCGTGACCACAGATGAATGTTTGGGGGAGTGTATAAAGAGGGGTAAGGAGACATGGTCTGTTTTCAAATAGCTTACCCTGCTTTTATGCAGGGATAAGACTGAAAATGTGTAACAGCTGGGAAAGCGTAGGTGACAACCAATTAGAACTGAAGGTCTTTATAAGAGAAGGGGCTCTCCAGGTTTCCATCCCAGCCTTTAGTTCCTGCAGTGTGTGTTGGGGGAGGGGGGGAGAAGGAGGGGGGTTTGGGGAACCCTGAAAGGGCCGGTACAGGGCCAGGAATCCTGGGGCAATTCCTGCTGCCGCTGACTAACCTGTAGGGAGCACTTCCATATTTGATCCGTCAGCTCCTCTGTGCCTGCACCAGCTGAACAGCAGCCTTGTGGATACAGAACTAAACATCCAGGTGGATGTCCTAGAAGAGGAGGGATGTCAGTGCTTCATCTCATGGATATTCAGAAGACAGATATTGCATATATTGTGAAGGTGATAATAATGTGGTCAATACAATACTGATGGGCCTTTAAATATCAGGGTCAACTGGAAGCATTTTATGCTTAGGGCCCAAAAGATGTATGGCATGGATAGAAATGCAGTATGTGTACTGTATTGGTTTTATGGAATCCTCAGACTTTCAGTTTTTTTTTATTTTATGAAATCAGAGGACTCGAGCATACCTTTAGGCCGGTTCCCTTAATTTACCCATGAGCCTGAGGGTCATGGTCACTGTCCTCCCGGGAGTGACAAGGGGGAGACTTGAAACCAGGACTCTGCACTCTCCCCTCCACACCTCAGGTCTTCTCCCCTGTCTAGGCGCAGCCGCGGGAACCCGCAGGAAGGAAGCTTTTCCAAACAAGGAGAAAAGCCACCTGAGAAGCTGGGTGGTATCCTGGCCGTCAGGAGGCACTGAGCACCTGGCAGATGCACTTGGTAAAGAAACAAAATAAACCCAAGGGCAGCCTTTGGGAGGGCAGGCTTCCAGAGAAGCAAGAACCGGGGGCCATGCTGACGTGTTGGAACCCGGCTTCCCTCCCTCCCTGCTCTGTGATCTCAGGCAGGTTCCCCCTGCACTCCGTGCTCCTGGGTGTCCTGGGGTGGGATGGAACACCCACCTCGCTGTGCAGGATGAAATGGAAGTGTGTGGAAAGCACCTGGGGAGCACCCGACACCCAGCGAAGCTTGCTGTTCCCGCGGGTGAACAACCAGGCACCCCCCAGAACTCTGCAGTACGTGTTGGCCGCACACAGCCACAGGCAGGAGGCGGAGCACAGCCAGGCCTGGCCGCGGAGGCGCAGACGGCGCCGGGGAGCGGGGCGCAGAGCAGCGGGGCGCAGGGGAGGCGCTGGGCCCCCTGGGGAGGCCGGATGCGCCTTGACTTGCTCAAGACCAGGAAGAGGCCTCCAGGGCGGGCGGCCGGTCTGGTGGGAGCGCAGGAATGGGAGCAAGAACGAACACGATGCGGTCGGGGCCGGGCACGGCTGGCCGGGTCGGAGTGCCTGCCCCGGCGGCGGGGGTGGAGGAAGAGGGGCTGAGGAGCCGGAGGCGGGGAGAGCCGGGGAGAGAGAGCCCTGGAGAGCTGTCCAAGGCCTCGGGATTTTCCAGTGCGTCACAGGCCCTCTGGACCACCTACTGGGCTCCGAAGGCCCATCTAGGAAACATGATGGGATTGGGGCTGGGGGAGGAGGGGGAGGCGGAGAGGGGAGAAACTATGCTAAACGCCCCCGCTCTTAGCTCTAAGTGGATATAAGCTTTTTGCCCCGAGACGGGAAGATTGCTTTAATTCACGTAGATAGACATCCTAATTTGTCCAACCTGAAGCCTTTTCGCGTAAAGCCTTAGCGCTCAGAGCGTTCATTACTCATCCCCCACCCCACCCCCACCTCCACCCCCACCCCCGCCCCTGCAACCGCCGTGCCCACCCCGCAGCCAAGGCTAGCGGCGCTGGGGGCTCCGCGCATGCGTCGTTCGGGCAGCCCAGCTCCTCCGCGCCCTCCCTTCTCGGAACAAAACCGGCAGGGAGGCCCGCTGCGCCGTTGGCGTAGGCCCCGGCCCGGCGGAGCCCGCGAGCCACACGGTCGCCCTAAGCCGGCGGCGCTGCCGCCGTGCACGGCCGGCCGGCTGGTGCGCGGACGCCGGGAGCGCAGCGCAGCGCCCCGCAGGCGGGCCGGGTGCGGCTGCGGCTGCGCAGGGCCGGCGTGGGCTCCGTGCGCCGCTGGCGTAGCGGGGCGGCCGGCCCAGCGCGGGCCTCCGCGACGCAGCCGGCGCAGCGGGCGCTGTGAATACGCGCTTTGGTGCAGCCGGGCTTTTTGGTACCGAGCGGAGAGGAGATGCACACGGCACTCGAGGGTGAGGTAACTATAAAACCCCGATTTGTTTACGTTCCCTCCCCCAGAACCGGCCCCGAGCGCCGCGGAGCCTGCGAGCCCGCTGCGGCCAGGGCGGCCGGGCCCCCGGGGCCCCCGAGGCCGGGGCATCGCGGCGGCGGGACCTCGGGGGCCGGGCGCGGGGTCCCTGCGGCGGCGGCGGCGGCGAGCTGGCGGGGCGCATGGGGCAGCGCGTGGGGGCGCCGCGGCCCTCGGGGGCGCGCTGGGCGGCCCGGCGGCCAGGGCCTCGCGTGCGGGGTGAACCCGCGCCCCACGGAGCCGCCTCTGGGGCGGGGGGCACCGCGGGGCGGTTGGGGGGCTGCGCGCAGAGGACGCGGGCGGGCGGGCGGCTCTGCAGGCGGATCTGGGGTGGGGGGGGACGGTAAAGGCAGAGGGTATCCGGCGCCCACGTCCTCCCTGTCCCCCCGTTTTCTGCGGGGTCCCCCGGGGAGGGCGGGGTGCAGCCGGGGCCCCGCAGTTCCGGCCCCGGGAGGCTAACGGACGCGGCCTCTGCGCCCGCCCGGACCGCGGGAGGCCTCGTGGGCGCTTATGCTTCCCCCGGGGCGACCGGCTGGCCGAGCCTGGCTGCCGGGGCGTCACCCCGAGGCCTGCGGGGTCCCCGGAGCCGAGGCTTTGTTCCTGGAAGCGCGTCGGCCCGTGCGCCCTGGGCCCGGCGCGGGCAGCGGGTGGGGGGCCTGGGCGAACCCCTCCCAGATTCGGGGACCTGCTCGGCTCTCCCGGTCGCTCCCGCACCCCCATACCCAGCCCCCCCGAGCCCCCCGGCTGAGCTGGCGGGGCGCAAGGCCGTGACGTGGGCGGCCTCCCCCGGCTCCCGGGGGCTCACGTGGGCGCCGCCCGCATGGCCGCCCCGCGCACCCCGGCGCCACGGGCACGGCCACTCCCTCCGGTGCCTGTTGAACGAATAAAGTGACATTAAAGCACATGGTTTTTTTTTTTTTTTTTTTTTTTTTACAAAAGGGCAGATTCTGCGGCTCTGCTGTCTTTCCTAACCAACCCGACGCCTCTCGCTGTGGGTCCCCTGGTTTCGCCTGGAGCTGCCTCCTTCGGGGTGCACCTGACCTGGGGGGACAGGTCTGCGTTGCATTGCTGAGCCCCAGCGCTGGGACCCTCAGTCTCCGTGCCACCCCCCCAGGCCTATATACAGGCTGGAAAAGCCGAGGGCTAGCCTGTGGTTAGTGCTGGGGAGACCCCCGAAAGCCTGAAGTTAGGGCGGTTCTATAGTACAGGACTTCCTGTTACACACATCTGGATATTTTTACCCAAATCTTGAATATTCTTTGTCCCTTGGTCAAGACCCTGGGGGTCCAGACCGGACAGTCCAGGCCCCTGCCCGCACTGCCTGTCCCGGGAAGGAGGGAGGAAGGGAGAGATGGATACATTGTGTCAGTCACTGGGATACAGTGAGTGAAACAGTGACCGCCTGGAGGGACACTCTGTAATCTCCTGAGGCTTTTGAGGAATGAACCTCCGGATGGTGCTTTCAGATGCACAAAATGCTCAGGCTTCCCACAGAACCAGGGGTACTGAGGTAGAATTAGGACCTGCATGTGAGGAGGTCATGTATATTTCAGGGAAGCATGAACAGAAGTGGCAGGTCTAATGGCTAATTTCACACTGTTAAGGACTGGAAATGGTCTTTAAAGGATTTGATTTCTAGCCGGTAACTATCGGGTACTGTGTGTGACTGATTAAAAGTAAAGTGCCCTTTCCAACTGAGCAAACCTGCATTCGGTACCCAGACCCCTGGTCGGGAAGCCCTGTGCAGGAATGGCTTTGGATCTACTTTAAATGAAGTTGTGAGGGAAGCCCTTTCCTATGAGGTGGTGGCAGTCATTGGTTACATGTTAACCGGTACTGGTTCTTCCTGTTAACAGGTTATATTCTAACAGTTTAAAAGACTAAATGCAGTTCACCTTTTTTGAGCACCTAATTTGAAGTATTTTAAGAGGCCAAGTTTAGTATGCAAGTTCTACGATTGTGGGGGGAGTTTAACTGATTGATGGAGAATATAGGCCATAGGTGGTATATACGAGGAAATTAGTCAATGGGAATGGTAATTTGCTTTTAAAGAGAATTTACCCTATTATGCTATTCCCTCCTTCCCTCAGCTTTGGAGTGAGACTTAAGGTTTCAAACCCTGACCCATTATTATTATTACCTAGTTTGGCTATCTTAATCTTTTTATATGTGAACTTGGAAGGACTAAAAAAATCCTACCTCATGGGTTTATACTGTGACCATTAAAAGACATAAGGAACCAAAGCCTGCTTAACACACTGTATATACATGTTTAGATGCATTTCAGTTCTTTATTGGTTGAAAGACTACTTTCTCCCTCCCCCCCCCCAATTGAGATTTAATGGTTTCTATTGGGCCTTTGCAGCAGTAATTATCCTACGGTTATCATTCTCTGACTCATGCAATAACCCATTGGCCTCTCTTGGTAATTTCTATCTTAAAATTCCATAAACACATCCTCTGTACCCTGCCAGACTAAAATCCTTGAGGGCACTTTCTCCACCTCCTGGTGCCACATGTTCACGACACATGACTCAGTGAATTCCAAGCTTGGTTGCTTTGCTCTTTAATCAAGTTTAAAAAAATGTTGGGTACATCACAAATTTAGCATCAGCCCAAAGAAGTACTTTGGGTAAAGATGCCAGCCCTTGACTGTGTGGTGCTTGCCGTGAGAATGGGAAATACCATGGGCTGGTGTTTCATATCGAAAGGATATGGCCACTAGTGCCTTTTGATCACAAGAGGAAAGACCGGACACAGTAGAAAAAGGAAAGGCAGTGTAGGCAATCAAAACAGGAAGCTAGTCTTTTCCTTTATAACAGAAATTTTATAAAGCTATAAAGGCTTCTTTCATTAAATAGTAGCATTCTCATTAAAAACTTCACCTTAATGGTTACAAGTTAGAAAAGTGCCCCGTTTGACCCAGCAGCGTGGTGCTGCCCCCTAGTGTTTTGTTCCCCGTGAGGTTTTCTTGAGTTGAACTTCACTTTCTTCACCTTTTCCTACAACAAACCTATTTAAATTACAATTAGACTCCTCAGTGTTCTATGTCCTGGTCTAGTTGGCATTTCTGCCAGCTGCTGATTAGAGTTTCTAATAAGGTAGACAAAGTTGTTTTGAATTGGTTAATTTTTATTACTTTTAGATCCCAGTTTTCCAAATAGGGGTGAGTTTTGTGTGGAGATAAAACAGTATAATACCAGGTTTCCTTGCCAGACTCTGTAGGGGATTTTTCAAAGGAAAGGGGGTATATGTTAATGGTATATCTATTAAATTAACTTTGTATATGAATACCATAAATTTGATTTATTTAATCTGGGCTTTTTCTTGAAAAGTGTGATATAAAAGTTTGCTTTTTGGCCCTGACCAGGTGGCTCAGTTGGCTGGAGCGTCATCCTGTGCAGCAAAGGATGGAGGGTTCACTTCCTGGTCAGAGCACTTCCCTAGGTTTCCGGTTCAGTCCCAGGATGGGAGGCAACCAGTTAGTACTTGTCTTTCACATTGATGTTTCTCTCTCTCAGTGAAAACATGTTCTTGGTGAGGATAAAAAATTGCTTTTTGGGGTCAGTGTAGTTTCATATAACTTTTTGTTGCCTTAATTGTACTGAAAATAAAATTGAATGTGCTAAAAATTGCAGGGATGGTGAGCTTTTGTTTTTTAAGTTCTATTTTATTTTGAGCTGTGACTGTGACAGAATGAGCTCTGAAAAATACTCTCTTGGACCTTTAATAATCACAAGATTTCCTGTAAACTAACGTTTCAAATTATGCTAGTTATCAATATTCCAAACTATCCTTTTCTTTATTTTCTATTTATAAGTTCTGTGATTGGACCATTCAATGACTTAGATTTTTCTAAAATGAGCAAATATAATCTCAAAATTTTATCATAGAGTAATCAAAAATGTGTTCAGTGGGTATAAAGGCAATTTATAACTCAAATTGTAAAGATTTACATAACAATAGCACTCAGATTATTTCCAGCTGCATAAGAGACCACAGTTACTGTTTTGACATTAAAACAACACAATTTATTATTTTATATATATCAAAGCACAATTTGTTGTTATATAGTGCTGGTGGTATTTATAGATGTAAGTATAAGAATAAAATCTAAAATCTTTGTTTAAACTATATTCACTGAGATGATTTTGTAATCACCTAATTTTGTAATTACTCATTATAGTTTAGATATCTTACTGCTGAAAAGAGAAGGAGGTATCAGATGGTACTTGTCCTTCCGTTAACGCTTCAAATAGCCATGTTTACCCTTAATATGCACTCTGCTTTTGGGGACCATCCATTCCATTCAGAAAAGAGATTTTTGGAGATTAGAAAAGTAAATCAGAATGTTGTAGGAAAGTACCTTTATCCTACTAAGATTATGTACTTTTATAGGACCGGAGTATTGTTGTTAGAAGAATTACTATGAATTGTGTATGGTTATTTTCCCGCACATAATTTCCAACAAGTAATTAGACTTGTCAGCCAATGATCACTTTAGTTCTCAGACTTATCTTCATTCATATAGAAAGTAGGAAATCTAAATAGCCTTTAGCTGAAGTAACAAGACAACAAAGATCTACATCCCACTGCTCTTTTAATATCTGAATTAAAAAAAACACATTTCAGATGTGCCCTCACTCTTGTAAACTTTCTTCTGAATTCACTTTATATCTTCTGTGAATTTGTAAATTTTCAGATAGTGGTTTTTCCCTGCAGTTGTCCACAGAATTGATAATTTTAAAAAATGTGTAGGGAAGGCCAGGGGTCAGCAAGCTATGTCCCCTGGACCAAGTCAGCCTGCACCTGTGAGTTCAATACTGCACACAGCCTTCTCCTTTGTGCATGTGCTGTGTGGCTGCTTTGTGCCCAAATGGCAGGATGGAGTAGTTGCCTTGAACACTGTGCTGCCCGCAAAACCTAAAATGTGAACTATCTGGT